ATGGTSATTGTCTCTGAAACTCACTGGGCACAGTGATTGTTCCTGTCACTGCTGTCATGTGTGTGTGGGGAGTGTTCATCTTGTCACTCATTACTTGTCCAGGCAGGGAGGGGAAAGGTATTGACAGGGTTCTGACGCTGTTCTGCCAGGAAAAAAAAAAAAAAAAAATTGGTGCTGTTCTCACTATCCAAAATGCTCTTTCTGTAACAAAAACGTTCCTGTTGCAAGAGCAGCTCCTTCCTGTAGCTGGCAGCTCCTTCTTTGGGGCAGGAAGCTCCAGGCTGAGCAGGAATGTAAAGGTAAGTGACATTTTTAACCTGCTGAAACCAAGACAAAAGCATTTATTCCTTTATGGTAACTGCAGTGTGGGAGGGAGCAGTGCTGCCAGAGAGAAGCAGCAGTGTGTCCTGTGAGTGCAGGCAGGCTCCAGTGAACTGTTCCTGTCCCAGTATGGCATCCTGCACACTGACTGGGAGCACAGGGCTCTGATGGGCCTTCCAGCACTGCCTTTACCTTTTAGAGTTAACCCCTGTTAATTTATACTTTTGATTGTTGATCAGAGATCTGCAGAGACTTTGAAAAGCAAGTTTGTTCATGGATTTTAACATTATTCAGCTTATAGGCAAGAATTACATACACAGGCTGAAAGCTGGGGGGAAAACACAAGGTTGTGATTRTTGTGGTACGAAGTTACAGCGTGTTAATTACTGAGTGTAGAACATTTCTGCCAGCATTTCCACAGGTAAATGCAGCTGTGACAGTGCTTGAGATAGAGCAAAGGGATGGGAGGGAAGCAGAACCCAGTTTTCTGCAGGGATCTGTGTGGGCATTACCTTTCAACCAGGCTATTCCAGACCACAGACAAGAGGCAGACCAAGCTTATGTTTTATTTCATGGAAACTATAAAAGATGACTTGCCTTTTCCCAAAAGCCAGGCAGTCAAGTCCCAGCTTGTGAGAGGAAAGGAAGGTGCTGCTCAGGAGGAGAGAAGGGCCCTGCTGTGAAATGAAAACCTTCCCTGTGCTAGGATACATAAACACCATGTCCCAACCATGCTGCTGCCTGCCCCTGAGTGTATGGGAACCTCACAAACCTCATCAAGTCTAACCCATCCCCCCGAGTCCTGCTCCTGCAGCACTCCCAGCCTGGGCAGAGCTCCCCCTCAGACAGCATCTGCAGCTTTGACCTGGCTGATGGGAATTCCATGGGTTTCAGTGCTGGTTCGAGCCATGCCTGCTCACACGTGCCATTTGCACTGGAACACTTGGGCACTTTCTCTGTGGTTTGAAGAGCAGCGTGGCTTTCTGCCTGCACACACAGAGCTCGCTATGTTCTCAGAGCTCACCCAGGCAAATGTAACACYTGAGAAAGTGTGAACAGCTGCTCGGCACATCAGTCCTGCAAGACTGCTGTTCAGGAATTCCTCTCCTACAAGGTAACACAATGAGGAAGGAAAGAAGTCCAGAAACTTTCTTGCTGTACTGATGAGCTCTGCTGTTGCACAGCATAAGGATGTTCTCGYTCCTGTCCCATCTCTGTCCCCAAGTTATTTATTCCATGTCATTACACGATACACCTGCTCAGTATTTAGCCTATGCCAGTCCATATGAAACCCCCTCCTGTTCTGTGACAGGATTGCAGGTGTGGTGCTGTTATCTATCTCATACTGTCTGGATTATACCTGTCTAGGTATAATGGGGTAACAATTACCTAACAATGCCTATTGCTTAAATCGAAAACCAAACCCCCACTCATTTTAAAAGGATGTGTGAGGCTGGTTTTTTTAAGGGCAAGAGTGGTTTAATTTGACCTTTGTGAAACCACTTTGCTATGAACATTAAGCAGTTTGTAAGAAATGATGTGGTTGTAGTGGTGGAGGGGAATTAATTAAAGGCATTTTGTATTGTCCAGTCTGGTAAGACAGACTAAATTTAAAAAAACTTGATCAGCACATGCTGGTTTGTAAGAGCCCAAGGCAATGGTGATTATAGATAAGAAGTGATTTCCCACATTTCATAGGAATTGTGATTGAGTCTTTAATGGCTTAACCAGGAATAAGCACAGATTCCAGAGACCTGGATTACAAGGTAAGGCCTTAAGGAAAACTGCAGATTTGATTCAGGCTTCTCACTGCTGAATCAAAACCTTGGTTCCATCTGAGAACTCTTGCAGAGGCAGCAGTGGAATGGGGGCTGCCCATTCCTCGACAGCAGCTCCTGTTTGGCTCCCACGGGCCGAGCCAGATTAGCTCTAATGAGAGAACAATGGCATGAGCTGGATGAAAGGCTCAATCTGTCAAACTTCATCATGGCTATTCTAAAAATAAACTTTGAGGGAAGTGGTTCTCCATGCAGATTGTAGCTGCCTGCCAACTGGATTGAAGGACTGTGACCGAGTCCCTCCTCTCCCCAGCTTTCTGYCTTTACATGATGTTAAAACTGAGGAGTAGCACACACTGCTTAGGAAGGACATAAAAAATAGATGGGTAATGCCAACTGTATCTTCTGAGAAGCACAGTGACACTTTTGCTCTGTTGTTTCAGCTGTTCTGTTTGCTGGGACCTGCAGGTTCTGCAGGTGCTGTTTCCAAAACAGTAATTCTCCACTAGTCCTTTTCAGGTGGCTGTAAGGGAGGACAGGGGCAGCTCAGCTGAGGGCACAAGCCTCCTGTGTTCATCCTCCCAGCACTCACTTCCCCATCCTCACAGTGCAGGTGTCTGAATCCACCACAGCATTCCTCAGTCTCCATGGTTTCATCAGGAATTGGTGYTGAAACAGGCTGGCTTACAGCAGCCCTCAAGCTCCCTTGATGGGAATTCTTCCATTCAGAAGGGTGGTGGCAGGGTAGCCTTGCCTTGGCATGGCCCTGCACAGCTTGGCTGATGGGATAGAAAATATAAACAGCACTGGGTGGCTGCAAGCACATTAACTCTTGATCCACAAGCTCTTTGCAGTGGATGAATTCAGCACTCTTCACCTGTAAGGAAAGACGCAGATTTATTGTAAGTTCTGGATAAATTACTCTCTTTTCTGGTCACTGCTCCTGTCACTTAGTAATGAGGGGGAGGGCAGGGACAGGTTGGATGCCTGAGTAGTGAATAGAAACAATATGCTGTTGATCCTGATGGARAACATTTATCCAGGAGCTCCCGAACTGCTACACAAAAGGTGAGCAAGTGCTTACTCTGCCGGAAACAACAAGCAGCAGGGAAAGCAGGAGGCCAGGTTATTTCAAACAAAGACCATAAAATAAGTGGATGGCACGCTGGCAGCCTGGGTCTTTAGCCTTCTAAGTGTGCCCTCTTAAAAAGGCATGTGTTTAATGAAACAGGAAAAGCTTTTAAAAGAAAAATAAATAGAGTTTGTTTTGAAAGTCAAACAGATTAAATTTTAAGAGCAATGTGACTATACTTAAAAGGTTTCTCAGTATTCGGTGGGAGGCTGGTGAAACTGGGCAGATTTATTGGAGCTCTCAGACTCCCCTGTCATGAGAGAATCTCTCCTGGTTCAGGATACAGGGGGCAGTCTGTGGCCAAGAATTTGGAAACCTCCCTTCCCTGCCAAAGGGATGTCCTTCTCTCCAGTCCCACCCCTGAACTGCACTTTTGTTCTCTTTTGTTAGCACCAGCAAGGTCTGCAGCGAAGGCAGAACAAGGACACACAGGTCAGGAGCTGCTTGTGGTGGCTGTAAATACATGTGGCTTTATTCATTTTTCATGTCCTGCCCTCAGGATTTGTGACCAAAGGCCATTTTGCTTCCTACCTGTGCTTTTTTTAGCAGATCAGTAGTAACAACAAACCAACCAGGAGTCTGCCTCTCCAGCTCCAAGGTGATGATCACCAAAGCCAGTGTGGAGCCCTTAAACTGCACAAGCTGGTGGCAGGCCATACAGTGCTGCAGCTGCTTGGTCAAGAGTGCAACATGGAGGGAAGGATTCCTCTGAGGCTGTCTGGGTGGGAGATGGGGCCAGCTGGACATCACCATGGCATGGAACTGCAGAGAAGACAAAGTGTACATATATATATATATATACATATATATATGAAAAGAAAAGCAGAGGTTAGTGAAGTTTATATGTTTTCATGTCATCACCCAAAGGTACAGATGAGTTTCATCTCTTATCAGGAAACCTGAAGGCTTCCCCCATCTTTTTTTTTTTTGTGTGTTTTGTGTTTGTACTTGCCAATCATTGAACTGTTTTTTTGAGCTGATAATGAATGTACGAGGTCTGTGTTTCCTAACAATTTCTGAGGTTTCTATGTTATCCAGATTGCTGTCCAGGAGATTCAATTCAGGCCAGCAGCTCCAAATCCAGTAAAACCAGTAATACCAACTGCACTCTGAATTTACTGAGGAAACAAGCACCTACGAAAGGCAGTCTTCACAATCAGCAGCCTAAAATGGCTTAAYATTTGCACATAACCTTAAAAAAGGGATCCAGGATCTGTTCATATCACATGAATTTTTGCCTTACTAGAACATGATCATTTCTTGAAGATGAAGTTTAATTGTTTCTATTAAATGTTTAGTAATGCAATGTGAACTAAGTGCTGGATCAGGGTAGTCTCATTGCATAAATGAATAATTAGTGGGATGAAAAGGAAAATGGTTTAAGAAAAAACCTGTGTGTGAAATGTAGCAAAACTCTGACAGCTTTCTATGTACAGTATTAATAGAAGGGAAATAGTTAGAAATATTTTTGCAGCCTATATTTAAAAAAATAAAGAAGGCATATGGTTGTGCRTTATGAGAATCTTTTTAATGTCCATTTTAGTTATCCTTTAAAGATGAGAGTAATTTTTTTTAGCAAAATGGAAGGTTTTAAATAGTAGAAAATTTTAAAAATAAATTTAAAAAGAAAATTACTGTAATATTCTTTAAAAGACCTGCAGATAGGTAGGAATAGGTAATTTGCCAAGCATCTTGGGAAGGATGTGTGGATGTGCGTGTGTGTGTGTGCATTTGTGTTTTTTAGTCTTATTTGATAAGGAATTGTTTCTTTAAAGATAAAAAAAATGGCAAAACATAGTGCTTACAATRTTTAAGAAATCCATTGGTGTTGCTGTGTAAAGATCCCACTGAAGCTTATCCAGTATAATTCTTTCCATTCTCAAGATCTCAGCTGGAGAGAGTTTACACCCGCTCTGCGCCGCGAGCGTCTGCACCGATGGTATTACCTGTATAAAAAATTTAAAAAATTTAAAAAAAAAATAAAGAAGCCAACGTCTTACACAGTGCTGTGTGTGCTTCTCTGTATTGTGAAGGRATCTGACAAGTTTGAACAAGTTTATGTTAAGCAGAATGCTCCTCCAGGAGACCTTGGTCCTAGGCACTTCCCATCCTAAGTGAAGAGCGCTCCCTGCTCACTCCAGGGCAGCTGCTGTAGACCCAGCTCATGGCAAAAATGATGCTCTGAGCCCCATGGGTCACTGTGAGTCTCCCTAATGTGGCATTAGTGATGCACCTTCCCTGCTACCATTGGTTTTGCTCAGAGAAGGTTTCCTGACAGCCTGTTTTACAGCGCCTGCTGTGGTTGTCTTGTTTCCGGTGGTCATTGACTCAGCTTCTCCTTTGAAGCTGAGAGGAAAAGAAGAATAACCTCAATGTAACACCACCTAAGAAAGGCTGTGAAGAGCATTTCAGACAGCAATGGCTGTTTGAAGAGATGTGCATGTCTGACTCCAGCTCCTGAATTTCCTGTTCTTTTGCAAAGCCGAAGGAAGAAAAGAGGAGGAATGCAGTCTGAAATGCTTTTGGCTAATGTTTGTAAATGCCTGCAGAAGTCTATCACTGCATTTCTGCCATAAGACATTTCCTGTGTAATTTCTCACTGGTTGCTGACTTTACTTGCTCATCTTGAGGGGCAGACCTCAAGTCAGTTCCTCCCCAGGTTCAGAAACCAGTTTTGRCTCCAAGCAAACTCATCTATCTAAAGCTTCCTCTGAAGAACCTCGGCTCTCTCACACCAGCTGTGCCCTCCCAGCAGCTTTAACAAGGGAATTACAGCCCTCTGATGTGYATCTTGACTTCCCCCAGACTAAGATCTACTGTGAGCTGTGGATTCTGAGTAGAGGAGAGAGGGCAGGAGGAGGAAAACACATCCATGACATAAACAACAACAAGTCCTTCATCCCTAAAGGTCACAATTCTTCAGAGCAACAATGAAACAGGACTTAAAGTGCTACTGTGAACCTTTAAGGACTACTTAGGGTAAACAAGTTAACACTTTTTCATTATGTCCAATTTGTTGACAGACCTGGAAACAAGAACAACTTTTAGTGTGTTTAAAATGAAACACAAACACACAAACCTCATCTTCTTCATTGGTTTTTGCTGCAAGGACAAGGCAGGAAATTGCAATGCACTGCAGATATTTTAATTGGGCCTGAAGGGAAAAGAAGAAAACACTGAGTAAAGAAGATAAGAGTCCTGGAGTAAATAATTGTCATTCTATGACACATGCACAAGTTTCAAACTTTCATTTAAGTTACAGTTACTTCTGAGTAAGTTTAGCTCCAGAAGCTGAAAATAGAATAAGGAAATTCAAAGGAAGCAGAAAATCCTTTATTGGTGCAATTTTTATTCTTGTATCCCACAATTTTTAGACTATGCAATGCCACAATGCACCTTGCTCGTCTTCTCACTTCTCAGGCTGGAGTTCAGGAAGAATTTCTTCATGGAAGGTGTTATTAGGCATTGGAATAGGCTGCCCAGGGAGGTGAGGGAGTCACCATCCCTGGAAGTGTTCAAGAAAGGACTGAATGTGGCACTTAAGTGCTATGGCTTAGTTGATAGGGTGGTGATCAGCCAAAGGCTGGATTCAATGATCTCAGAGGCTTTTTCCAGCCTCAATGTTTCTATGATTATATATGCCATTATCAACCTACATAGAATTGAGATCTGCAAGGCTCAGCTCAACTCCTAACTTTGCTGGAGCTTCAGTGGCAGAAAAACTCACCCCACAGTTTAATTAAAAACAGTGGTTTAAAACCCAGAATATTAAAAGTGATAATGTGAATCATTTCTGTTTAGCAGAGGAAACCAGATGAATTCTTTGTACTTATCACAGCAGTTGGACTAAGTTCACACAAACACTTCTAATGAGGACTGTATGTCAGTGGAACCTCATCAAACACTCAAGCTCATACATGTGTGCATATATATATATATATATATATATATATTTGCTTAATGGCCTTCCCCAGCAGTGACCCTGACTGCTCCCTAAATCTGCTGCCAAACATAGTCCCTGCTTTGTGTTTAAACTGATTACATGCTCCTTACAGTCCCAGGCAGTAATCTAGCCAGGGAAAAGCTGACAGAGATCTCTACCTTTACTGATGCCAACAGTCTGTTGAAGATGCTGGTGGCTAAGGCGAATGTTTCTGGGTAAAACTGGAACTGGGAGCTGATTTCTGCAATCCAGAGAACCGCTTTTTTGTAACACGACAGAGAGATATCTGTGCCCTGAGGGGAAGGAAAAGTTAGAAGAAAAATACAGTTAGTGCTTTRATGATTTTGTTAACATATCTCCAAAGGAAGACTCAAATCTTTTTAAGTGCTCTAATTAGCATCTGAGATGGCTGGAGGCATGAAATGAAGGAAGTTGTGGCTGTGTCCACAGAGGGAGGGCAAGGGCACACTTTGGAGCAGTTTAAAGTGCTCACTYGTGCTGCCCACCCAGCCTGGCTCTAGCTGTGCTTACACAGGCCTGGTTCTGGGTTGTACTGGAGCACTGAGTGGGGAAGCACCCAGCCCTCCCGAAATAAGTCCTTATAAACAAGGCCCTGAGTGTGCTCGTTATTCCTACCATGGAAAAACTGAAGCCTTGATGTAGCACGTGTTCCACTCAGCCAGCCTCGACAGTGAAACCAGAGCCAGGAGCAGGTTCTGATTGATTCTGCAAGAGTTTTAACAACCCTTGGATTTGCTGTGTTGGGACCAGAGGCAGGTTTGTGACTCCTCAAAGGCACATAGCAAAATGTACTGAGTTTTTTCCTTCTTATATCTTTTTTGAAGCTGGTGAGAGGGGGACCTTGGCTGCCATGCCAATGGCCCAGGAGCCATGGCATGCACCTGAACATTTTTGTAGGAGAATTGAAAGGGCCAAACAGCTACACAGAACTGACAGCACTAACCACCAACTCATTTAATATTACTCATCACATTATYTGTTTCACTAATTTGTTTAATTTGGTAGTAAAAATCCTTGGTAAAAAGTAGCATTTATTTTTCTAGACTATTGCAAAAAAAGAGACAAGGCTTTCAAGGCACTTCTGTGCATTCTCCCATGGTTCTGATGCACTTACAAAAGCAGCCAAGCAAAATTCTACAGGGGCCATRGAGTGTTGTAGCTTAAGACAGATTGGAATAGGGCTGGGTTTCTATTAAGCCCAGTGAATTCCCTCTTCTCCCACCTTAAAAGATGGAACTCACAGATAGTGCTGAATACAATTAATATGCAAATTTATGGTTTTACTATCAATGGGGCTGTTCCTACTTCACCACATTACCCAAAACTATTTCGCACTTCCCAAAACTACTACTATTCTSACTGAGTCGAGTCAGAACAAAATGCAAAGCCTCTGGTTTACACAAGGCATCATTAAAATGTAAAATGGGACAAATACAGACCCTCCTCCCCCTCCATTCCTTAAGCCTAGTCCATGCAGGATGAMTTTTGCATTCAGGTCAGATGGCAGTACTAGCACTACATCTCTGCAAGGTTCCTCAGGGAATTCCAAAGRGGACAGGGAAGGATACCTTTAGGGTGAGATTCTGGAAAACTGGMACTTTCCAAATCCTAGCCTCTCTGCCTAAGGCATTTTCCAGGAAGAAGGCAAGTCGTGAGCTCTCTATTTGTCCAGGACACTTCATGGCAGCTCTTTGAGCCAGTTTCCTGTAGGGAGCTACTGACAAAAACAAACAAACAAAAAAGAATTATAAAGCAACATCCCAGCTCCTTGTACAAAGTATGATTTTCACTTTTGATGCATTTCCAGCACTGAGAATTGAGGAGCAGCCATAGGACTTGTTTGTTTGCAGACAGTGCAATACTGATATCCATTTTCCCTGGAAGTTCATGGTGAAAGAAAACATGTCAGATGGTTTTTCCCCAAATAGCCCAGCTTTTTCCCTCCTGCGCTGTGTAAAAGCTTGAGAAACCTTGGGTCGRGCAGTCCAGATTACTCCATTTATCCTGTTTCACACATTCTGCTCTCCATTTGCAGAGCTATTATATTGCAACCTGTTGTCGCCTGATTTCAAGTTTCTGGCAAATAGAGGCTTTGTATGTTTCCATACAAAGACTCAAAGATGACTGTTCTTAGGATGTTTAAGAATTCCCAGTTAAAAGTTTTCCTCAGAGCAGTTTAATCTTTGGAGATACCACTTTGGAAATCCCACTCAGTCTCAGACTAAAGAGTATTTACAGGAAATAAACATCTCTGAATCATAGTACCAAGTGAGTGTGAACATCCAGCCAGAAACTATTTCAAGGCTTACATTTTGGTGTCTCTTTAACAACAGAAAAAAGATGTTAGTAGATGTGAAATTCCTGCTTTTCTTTCCAAAGAGTGGTGAATGTGGGCTTCCTCACTGGTGCTTTCTGGAAGCTCACACCATTATCTCTGCAGTTCCACTAAAAACCCAAAGTGACATGAATCCTCTGGAAACCACTCTACATTTCTAAAGCTGGAGCTCTGCGATGTTTCCCTGAAAGCAGGAACCACACATGACTTTAACTTCTGCCACTGGTTGTCAGAGAATCCAAATCCGCCTGCCCGGACCGTTTCAGCAGAGGGAGAGCTGGAAATGATTTATCTGACCAGTTTGATGCACTGAGAAGTCTACTCTTGTGTAGCCGTGGGGGAAATAATAATTAAAATCTCTCCCTCCGGCTAGTTCCGACTGTCCCTGAGAAGGACGCCGAGCAGCCCCCACACTGCCAGCGCTCCGACAGCGCTCCGCAGAGCGCCCGGGGAGCGACGGGGATCCCCTGCCCTGCCCATCCCGTCCCAATCCCGTCCCGTCCCGTTCTGTCCCAATCCTGTTCCGTCCTATCCCGTCTCATCTCATCCCAATCCCGTCCCGTCCCAAACCCGTTCAGTCCCGTCCCAATCCCGTCCCGTCCCGTCCCGTTTCATCTCATCCCAATCCCGTCCCGTCCCAAACCCGTCCCGTCCCATCCCAATCCCATCCCATCCAGTCCCGTCCCGTTTCATCTCATCCCAATCCCGTCCCGTCCCGTTTCATCTCATCCCATCCCATCCCATCTCATCCCGTCCCGTCCTTACCCGGGTGCCGGCTCGGAGCAGCGGGCGGCGCTCGGGGCGGCTCTTGGCGGGGCCGGGCGGGGCCGGTGATGCGGCGGGACCGCCCCGGGAGAGCGGCGGGGAGCGGGGGCGATGGCTGCGGGGGACCAGCGGGGATGTTTCGCCCTGTTCCACCCCACCCCGGGCGCTGCTGGACGCCTCCGCCGGGAACTCCTGTGCCCGATCTTTGGGGCTCGGCTCCGCTGGAACMCGCATCTCCTCTCTGGGGTCCAAASCGCGGGGCACCTCCCGGGTGAGCGCTGTCTCAGCCCGGCTGGGTCTGTCTCTCCTGCACGGAGATCATTGTGCCAGGCAAAGCCGTGCGCTGCTGGGATCGRGATGAAGTTCTGCCGCGGTGAAAAGCACTGCAACCTTCAGCATGGCCCCCAAATCCASCTGCCCCCTTCCCTGGCATCASTTATTGTCTTGACAGATGCACTGCMCYTTCTCTTCAACTTGGCCCTGTTCAAAACACCCATTTGTTGGGTCCACACAATCCCAGCACTTGCCAGGACCTATTTTCCTACCAGACATACGGAGATATCTTTTCTCTGTGTGTTTCATGAATTGTATGCACCCTTGTTCCCTCCCAGGGCTGGGCCTCTCTGCCAGCAYCTGTGTTTCACCCCAAATTTGTTTCCAGGATCTCTCCACATCTCAGAGACACTCTCAGCTTTCCCCTCAGCTCATGGATCCCTCTGTTTTCCTCCTGCAGCACTTTCTGTGGAAAGCTGATTCCAATATTTTATGTTAAACCTTTTCTTGTTCCCCAGCTTTACCTGCCCACACATGACTCTCTGTTCTCTCACCAGCCCCTTGGGTTATACATTTTCTGGTGCTAAATTACCCTATTAGTCCACAAATCTCTGCATGCAGCACAGCTCAGAGTAATGCCGTGGCAGTGTGTAAAGAGCAAAGTGACTTTTTGCTGAACACCTGATCCTCGAGCTTCCTGATGACACACACCTGGGGCTGAGGGAATGGCCCTGCCCTGTCATTACCGGTGTGTCCCCAGCCCTGTGACACACCGGTCATTTTGGTGGGGGAGGTCTGCAAGGCACAGATCAGCTCTGTCTACATTCCTGCTCCTGCTTACATCCCTCTGGCAAAAGCACATTCCTCGGTTTGTGTCTGTGCTTGGTGCCGGGGATTGCTGGCCTTGCCCAGACATCCCTGGTGGTCCCCAGCAAAGGTAGTGAGGGGAGGAGTGGGACTGGAACAATGCCCTGTGACCTGCCAGAGGGATTTGGGGTGCAGAAATACCCGAGGGGGAGCAACATGAGACTGATTCAGGGCATGAGGAGCAAGGGAAACTATTCATGGACCTTTCCTGTTGAGCAAAATTATGTCTTTGACTCATTTTAATGASATAGATTATGGAAGGGCAAAGTCAGATTGTTGAAATAATTTAATCTAATTCCTGTAAATATGTGACACGTGGGCAGTGTGATGTTGAGTAGGAGAGGAGCAGGTGAGGCTGTGGAGGATCCCAACAGTATCCAATGAAACTTTACACTAAATGAMAAATAACTTGGAAATGTGCCTCATTAGCACAGGGTTAAGTGATTTATGGGCCACTTGGACTGTACTGCTTGTTTATATTTAAGGTACTCTGCAGTCCCTCTGTCTCATCAGAAATTCAAAACGTTACAGTCAGGAAAAGGAGATGGATTTTCTTCCTGTGTGGAGAAAAGGCCGGGGCTGCAGCCCTGTCAGAGACCCAGAACCCTGTCAGAGCACCGGGAGCCCTTCCAGGGCAGTGGAGTGTTGTGAGAGGCTCTAGAACCCCWTCTAGACCCAGCGGAGCCCCCTCAGAGCCCGCCGGGCCCACACCCGGCCCCGCGCTCTCTCCCCGCTCTCCCCGGGCCGTGTGCGGCCCCGCCCGCCCCGCCGTTCCCATGGCGACCGAGGCCCCGCCCCCTTSGCCGCTCCGCCGCCGCCATTGGCCGGGCTCTGTCCGGCCCCGCCCTCCCCCGCTCGCCATTGGTGGCGCGGGCTCCGCAGCGCGCGGGGATTGGCCGCGGGGCGGGGCGGGCGCAGGCGCGGTGCTGTTATTGTTCCGCGGTGCCGCCGCCTGGCCGGGGCTGGTGYCGGCGCCATCGCTATCGCCATGCCGGTGAGACCCGGGGAGGGACGCGGGCGGTGGCTCCCGGGGCTGTCGGGTCACCGCGCACCTCGGCCCGCCGCGCCCGGGGTTCGCAGGCCCCGGCGCCTCTGCTCCCGAGTGCGCGCCTGTCAGGCCGAGCGGGGCGGGGGGTGCTGAGGGGCTGCGGGCGGGGCGGGGCCCCGCAGAGACGGTGGCTCCTTGGCAGCGGGGGGTGGAAGTCCGGCCTCCCCGGAGGGTTTCGTTCCCTGTCTCCGGTGGCTCGTGGAGACACCCGAATCTCGCACCTGATTTTGGCTGGCGCCCCGTGTGCGGTCCCTCTCCCGCCCAGCTGGGGCTGAGCCGCTCTCCGCGTTCAGCAGGGCGGCACAAGCCGCTGCTGAGGCCTGAGAGGGATCCGGGCAGGTGGCAGCTGAAGGGAGAGGTGCTTGGAAACAGGGTTTGTTGCGGTTTGACATCCAGCACTGCTGCTCTAGCMGTAGGTTAGTWCTCRGCTGCAGCACCTCTATCCAAGGGGWGTGTTCAGGCTTAACTAGAGCAAATGGGCTTTAGATTTTTCTAATTAGAAACAGCATGTAATATCAGGTTCATCAGTGTGCTTTAAGATTTGTTCTGGTAACAAATGTAAGAAAATGACTGTGAGGTTTTATAATACAACATTTAGGTTTTCTAAAGGATTAAACTTAAGCAGATACACTGAGGGTTGTAATTGAAATTAATTTCCTTCAGCCAGCACTCCCTGGTATCTGCTTGTGTGCTCTGTGACTTTTTAGAGTGTGTGGTCAGTATACCTGTGAAAGAATATCATGGCTGCACCRAATTCCAGCAAACTCATTGCAGATTGCAAGTGTGAAATTGTTTATTGAAAAAATTCGTAAGATTCTGTTAGGTGTGAAATGCTCAAAGTTTATTCATTCAGTTTCCATGYTGGCAAACAGAAGGAGATTCTATTGCTTGAATAAGTGTGTTATTCTCTCAGCTTTAATTATAAACCAGTTCTGGTTTTTAAGTCCCCAAGTTCACGATCCTGTGGAAATGTATGCAGCTGCTCAAGCTGATTCAACAGTGTTTATGCTTAAACACGCAATGTTTTTATGGTGAGAGAGGGCAGGGTTAGATTGAATGTTAGAAAGAAATTTTTTCCTGTGAGGGTGATGAGGCCCTGGCACAGGTTGCCTAGAACAGCTGTGGCTGTCTCATCCCTTCAGATGTTTAAGGCCAGGCTGGACAGGGCTGAGCGACCTGGTCCAGTGGAACGTGTTTCTGCCCATGGCAGGGGGTAGAACTGGGSTTCTTCCAGGCCAAACCTTTCTGTAATTCTATATTGACACTAGTGTTACAGCCTGTGTATTATTTTTTTTTAAATAATTATAGATCAACAAGCCTGAGAAGCTGGACAAGCCAGAAAGCTGTGACAATGTCAAGGTGGTTGTTCGCTGCCGGCCTCTCAATGACCGGGAGAAAGCTACAGGCTACAAAATGGCAGTGAACGTGGATGAGATGAGGGGAACTATAACTGTCCATAAAACAGACTCATCCAATGAGCCTCCCAAGACATTCACATTTGACACCGTGTTTGGACCAGAGAGTAAACAGCTGGATGTCTATAATTTAACRGCAAGACCTATCATAGATTCTGTCTTAGAGGGATACAATGGTAAGTCACTTATTGTAAGGGAAGTGTCCTATTCCATTTCCTCTCCTTTGCTTTGTTGAAGCTCCTGCTGTTCTTGTTTAAGRGAGCTTCACCCTGTGAGTGCTGTAGCCCTGAATTGTTTCTGTTGTGGCCTCTAACTTAAAATATCCTGAAGGTACTTGCTGTTCTGAGTGCTTGGTTGTACCCACTACGATCGTTAACAGAGGGAGGTTGGTGATGAACAAGATTCAGCTGAGGTCACTTAGCTGCATATTGTTATCCTTTATCTTCTCTTTGCAAAAGATATGCATTTATCTCATTATTGGAATTTTCAGTGGTTCCTCATTGTACAATTTGAATATTCAAGAGCTGCTATGGCCCTAGTTATTATATTAACCATATGGTTAATAGTTATTAGCTATGCATACCAGACCTCTGCGTAGAACTGCTTCAGTTTTTTCTCTGAACTTTGCTGTTTTTGACTGAGATGACTCCTTAAACRCATCTGCCTTTCCCCACAGTCTGTTCCTTTCCACAGCTGGGAAGAGAATGGCTGTGATTTGTGCGTGTGTTTGTTATGCATGGAAAGGTATTATGTGAAGGAAAGCAGGTTACTGCTTTCCACCTGCTTTCCACAACAGTATGCTATGAACAACAACAGTTTACAAAGTTTTCTAAGATTTGTAAAATGCCTAATAAGCTCTTGTGCTAACACACACGRGTTTCAGCWGATAAAAATTCATGSTTCAAATGTAAATGGTTCAGAGCTGTGCCTGAGGAGGTTTAGACTGGATATTAGGAAACATTTGTTTATTGAGRCACTGSAMCAGGCTTTCTTGAGAGATWATYGATGCCCYRAGTCAGAKTTTAACAGGCATTTGGACAATGCCCTTAACAACRTTCTTTAATTTTTGGTCAGCTCTGAATTGCTTGGGCAGTTGGACTAGATGATCATTGCAGGTCCCTTCCAGCTGAAATATTCTGTTTARTTTTTYRTATCTGCAKTGTCAGTGGCTTGRTAACAAAAACTTGAGTTTTCAGCAGTGTTAGRCTAAATATAGCGATATTTCTGGGATTTCCAAAGTCTGGGATCTCAGTAACGTTTCTGGATGCCTTCCTGTGCWGGCTGATTCTTTAGTCCAAATTGTAGCTTCATCTGCAGGTTCACAGCTGGACTTGTACTGTGGCTCTGCTGTAGAAGCCTCACATTATTTCTGCTGTGGCTTAGAAACTAGGAGTAGTTGGGTTTGCAGTTGGTRTGTAATCATCTTCTGCTAATTGGCCAGGTTATTAATTGGGCTTGCCTGCATTGTTTGTATGTGGAACCAAAGTGTACTAGTATTCYATACTTTAATCACTCTGCACTTTTAAAACAAGCTGACTTTTTATTAGACATCTTGAAGGCTGGATTAAACAGCAGCTTGGTCCTGTTTGCAGTGTTTGCCCAGCATTTCTGTCTCTCCAGCCTTGTACAGTAGCTTCTGGACTGAGTGGGAAATTTCAGCTCCATTACAAACAGGAGTGGTTACTGCTATCAAGCTAAGAAGGATGAAGTAAAACTGCCATTAGARTTTAGGAAAGACTCAACTTCTTAAGAGTTTGTTCTTCTGTCTTATCCTTCAGGTACTATTTTTGCATACGGACAGACGGGAACAGGCAAAACTTTCACCATGGAAGGGGTGCGAGCAGTTCCTGAGCTCAGAGGCATCATTCCCAATTCCTTTGCCCATATATTTGGTCACATTGCCAAGGCAGAGGGGGATACAAGGTAAATGCCTTCTGTTCACTGCTTCTGGTTGGGTTTCTTTTTTGTGTTTTGTTTTTTTTAGTTTCTTTTTAATGCGAGTCTGTGTGTAGCAGGAGCCTGACCTTGACAAAGACAACAGAAATGGTACTTCTGGCCCAAGCAAACAGGCTTCCCCTTAGGCAGTTCTTAAGGGGCAGCAGGATTGTGTTGATATTTGACTGTTTTCTTTCACTCCATGACTGTGTTTGTGGGACTTCAGCAAATATCTTGCTAAGTGAATTACCCTGCTGTTCATCTGCAGGTTTTTAGTTCGTGTCTCTTACCTGGAAATTTATAATGAGGAAGTGCGGGACCTGCTGGGAAAGGACCAGACGCAGAGGTTAGAGGTGAGGCTGCTCTTCTGAATGTGGTGCTTTTTTTGAATCAGAGCAATAGTCTGTTTTAAAGACCAGAGAAACACTTGCAGGGAAGTGGGAGGTTGGGTTCCTCAGCAGACCTCTTCCCTTTAAGGTGCAGTGGCTGGATGTCACTGCTGGYTTCTCTAAATCACTTCCACTTGGTCAGTTGCATGAACTGGCTGTTCCACCTCAGGCAGTTTTGTACCTGGAGTTCTACCCCAAAGGTCCCTCAGCAGTTCTAGGAATTGGAGACTGGGATTTAAAGTCATGTCTTGACCCCAGAGGAAAACAGTAGCATATTGTCATGCATGACTGTTCCTTATATGCTCTGATTCCAAGTGGAGTGTTTCATGTGCAAAGCAGAGCATGGAGGGGTAAATCACTGTACTGCTAAAGTATGACTAGAATTGTTGTTGGGGGTCTCCTAGGGATGCTTAGTCTGAACTGTTTCTCTCTTAGGTGAAAGAGAGGCCTGATGTGGGAGTTTATATCAAAGACCTTTCAGCTTATGTCGTAAACAATGCAGATGATATGGACAGAATCATGACTCTGGGCCACAAGAACCGTACGTAGCCTTGCTGTGGGCAGGTTTATAGCTCAGGTGGAGTAAAGGTCTGGTTACCAGACCACTGTAGGAGATCCTGGTCCTATTGCTGGGAAGAGTGTTTGGCTGAACAGAGCAAAAAGGGTATCTCCTGCCACACCCCTTTTGTGCAGGGGCAGGTAAAGAAAGCTGTGCCTCCCTCATCCACCAGTGCCAGTGGAGATCAGCCAAGGTGGAATGCATTGAGGGCAGTCAGTGCTGTCAGAACTGCTTGTGTGTCTCTTGGTCCTTTTTCTGCTTCAGTTCTGATCAGGATGAGCATTAGTTCTGTGCTGTGAATGGAGGTAGTTTGTGTTCTSGAAGTCTTCTTAGTTAAGCTCAGATTATTTAATGACTTAAAGTCGTGACTCCTGTTGCCCTTGGCATGGATTGCTGTGTTCTTATTTCCTTAAATACAACTGTTTCCAGGCATTACCTGTGAATATCTGAAGCTATTGATCTTTGTAGCCTTAACGAAATAGGTGAGGACAGTTTCTGTTCTTGGGAGACTGTGGTTGGTTTAGAGCTGTAGCAGGACCTTCTGCTAGTCCAGGTTTGAAATGTAGTGCAACTTCAGTGTCCCAGAATACACTTTGCTGCTAAATCTGAGCATCCGTCTGCCATCCAGTACAGGGTTGGGTAAAGAGGTGGGGATAGGTCTCCTCTGAGAGCAGGAAGAGTTAGARGAGGATGTGATTAACTCTGAAYAMATCAYTGTTTTTTCTCTCTGTTAAAAGGTTCTGTTGGTGCCACAAACATGAAYGAGCACAGCTCTCGCTCGCATGCCATCTTCACCATCACCATTGAGTGCAGTGAGAAGGGCGTTGATGGGAACATGCACGTGCGCATGGGCAAACTGCACCTCGTTGACCTCGCTGTGAGTAGGACCTGCCAGTCTTGGCAAGACATTTGGTTTGGGTTGTTGAAGTTTTTCCAGAGGGTTGTGACCATGTTGTTCATCACTTGCAGGTTCCTTCCCTCAGTGTCACACTTTGAGCCAGTGTAATTGTGCTGGTAAAACGTGGTTTTAGCCCAAGATTTACACTGTGGTACCTTTCCTGGGGAAGATACAGGAAAAGTGGGACTAAAGGCATTCAACTTAACTTATTTACMTGCATTTTAACTTATTTCCATGGTGTGTGTATAGGATGCTCTATGAAACTCATAACTGCAGTGTTGCTGTTTTCCTTGTTCTGCTGATAGAAAGTGCTGTAGATGGTGGTTAACRGCTCCAGCTGGGGTGCCTTTTAACTGCTGACTGACTTCCCATAATGTTTTTGTTCATGGGGAGGAAAATCTCTGTTTTCCCAGCTGCATTGCTTTGAGCAATCCAAAATTTGCKGGCACTGAAAGCTTCTGTTTAAGACCTGTTTGACTTGTCTCTAACAATGTCTGAGATACTTAGCCAGGTTCTCTAATAATGGATGAGGTGGTTAGTGCCATGGCTCCTAAGCAAGATTTCAGACCTAGCTGTCTCTGTTTGGAGRGAGGAGATGTATTAGAGGTTCTGTTTTAACTCCCATGTTTTCTCTGCAGGGTTCTGAAAGACAGACAAAAACTGGAGCCACAGGGCARCGACTGAAGGAAGCCACTAAGATCAACCTCTCTCTCTCTACACTGGGCAATGTTATCTCTGCACTGGTGGATGGCAAGAGCACCCACGTGCCCTACCGTAACTCCAAACTCACACGGCTCCTGCAGGACTCCCTGGGGGGCAACTCCAAAACCATGATGGTAAACTAAGAGATGCCCTTTCCAATGCCAGCTATTTGGTTGCATTTTTACAGGGATAGCATAATGACTTGAAGATCCTGGCATTTACCTCTGAGCTGTTTGCAGCTTAGAGAATCTTTTATGTGCTTCTCTTTCTATATTTTCTGTTTGCTTCTGTACAGATGAGGTTCTAAACACAGCACACATGTCCATACATGTGTGAAGGCAGACAGAACCTGTGCTTGGGTAGTGAAGAGTGGCTTTGGTGTAGAAGCAGCAAGAAATCTTGGGAAAGAGTAGCAATGTGAGACTGTCAGAGTTGAGGGTGGGTAACTGCAGGGTCTTGTGCTGGGTACTGACRCTGTCCTGTAGTGACTTGGTCTCCATGTGTTACAGTGTGCAAACATCGGACCAGCAGACTACAACTATGATGAGACCATCAGCACTCTCAGGTATGCAAACAGAGCCAAGAACATAAAGAACAAGGCCAGGATTAATGAGGATCCCAAGGATGCTATGCTCCGCCAGTTCCAAAAAGAAATTGAAGAGCTTAAGAAAAAACTGGAAGAAGGTGAGACTCTCCTTCCCCCTGGTGTTCCTCTCTGCATGGTGCTTGCTCTGTTTGAATGGGAACGTTCTTTGCTACTGGAATATGTATCACACGAGGTTGGCTGCTGCTGTAGGTCAGTGTCCTGGTTTTGTTKGCCATGCTGAGTGCCAGAAGTGTCTAAGGCTGTTCGTGGGGGCCCAGCTTTCCCACTAGGTGGCACTTGGCACTAGGGTGAGTAGTGGCCTCTGGGCTGGAATCTGTGTGCCCGGGCTTCCCTGGCAAGCATGGCGGCCCTGGGCACAACTAACATGGTGTGGGGAATTAAAATGGATTGTAACAACAGATCATGCTTTTTCTCTGACTGGGGAGGAGGGATGCATTTATCAGAAGGAAAAATGAACCAAATTTGTGGAGCTGGAACAGGGTTTTCCAACACTATGTAGAGCTACAAGAAGCTTCTTTAAACCATGTAACTTCATAGCCTTGTGTCACTATTAGTCCATCAACATGGAGTGACCCTGCTACAGGAAAGCTTGCTAAACCGTGACCTTGTCAAAACATCTCTSTCCAGAGATACTCATAGCACAGAACAGCTGTAACAGTAACTCCAGCATGACTTGCTGTTTRGTGTCTGCCCTATTCAGGAGAAGCAGGAAATGGTCAGTAATGCTTCTTTTTTTTTTCTTTGATCTGAGACAGAGGTGTGAGGTGGAAGAGAAGGTATGGTAGAATCCTGCTAGGAAGGCTTTGTAGCTTCAGCTGTGCAAGGATGCTTTATTTTCCATAAAAAGCATCCTCTCGGGCTTTAAYATGTACTCACTGACATCACAGCATTCAGTTGCTTATCTTGATTGTCCTTTAGTTTTCTGAGCCATGGCAAGCTGTCTGCCTTCTCAACAGTTAAGGACTTCTGCAGGCACTCCTAGGTTAATCTCAGGCACTGATGTGTTTGCACAAATGCTTCTGTCAGTAACAACGGTTAAGGAAAGGTTTGATAAAAGCGCACTTTTCTCTTCTAGGGGAAGAGATCTCTGGTTCTGAGACCAGTGATTCTGAAGAGGAGGATGAAGATGAAGATGGAGAGATCGGAGAGGAGAAGCGGAAGAAACGGCGGGGTAAGGCAGTAGAGATTCCTGTCAGTGCCAGCAGTCTCCTCTTACCAAGCAGCTGGTGTAGGAAGTGTAGCCAGAGCCAGGCAGGGACAAGAGGAGTTGTAGAGCTGCCYGATGCCGCTGCAATTATCATGCCTCTCCTAGAAACGAAGCCCTTTGGTGCCTTTGGTCTCTGTAGAAGGACAGCTCTGAACCTGTGTAGTACCTGCTTCCACTCGGGTAGCTGTGCTTGTGGTGACATCCTCTTTTGTGGTGGCTCCCTGGGTGCTGCAAGGTGGCTGCATATGGCTTGTGACTGGTGGTGTGGAACTTCCCTACTCACAGAGGTGGGAGGAAGAAGACACCAAAGATSATTTGTAGGCAGATGTGGTTTTTATAGCCATGGGTATGATTGGAGGGGAATTTTGGCTGTGGTTTAGGCAAAGGATTCATCTGTCTTATGGATCTTCACTAACTGACTCTCCTGATGTCCTACTTTATATTGGTAGAGGGAAAACTTGACCTTTGTGTGTCATTGCTTGCTGAAAAGCTTAATGAGAGCTGCACACCCCTTGTTTGGGAGCAGTCTGCAAATCCCACGGTGAAGTTTCCTTGTTCCCAAATCAGAGTTAAACTGCTATGTATCATCTAAACTCCAGGGAGTGTTGCTGAACCTGGAACTGCAGGTCACTGTGCCATGGGATACTGTGGCTTGCTGGGAGCTTGCTGTGCTCCTAGAACCCTGCTGGTAATTCCTTATGGACAGTAGAGAAGTCAAACCCAGTGTTACACCCCAACTTCCAGCTTCTCTAGTAAACTTATCTTGACATCTAAACTGCCCTCCTGTCCTGAGGCACCCAATCTGTTGAAAAAAATTCTTGTTAAAGTATTCCTGCTTTTAGGTATACTCTATTAATTTTGATGTCTGTCCAAGTAGTCATAGATGATTTTTGCCATGCTTTTGGTGATAGCTGTAACAACTTCATTTTTCACCTTTTGGTTATTTCTAGAAGTGAAAAGCTTRACCAATGTCTCCAAGTCCTGCCCAAATCTCCTCCCAAGAGGAGACCACCTKCAAAGTGCTGCTTGGAAGGAGTAGAGGGCAAATAATTGATTTATTCAACTCTGAAACAAGCTACTCTAGTTAAGTTCCCTGAGGGAGCTGCTTCACTGGAATACACAGTGACTGTTCCTATGTAAGCTGGCTCTGCCTTCCAGAGGGAGAAGTGCASATTGCCATGTGCTTAAGAGTGGAAAGGATTCCTGGTTGCTGAATCCTCTGCTATGGCAGATATCCACAGCCTTCTCCACTATGATCTGGTGTTCTCTGCTGTTGTTGCTTGAAATGGAAGCTGCCTTGGCATGTTGTTTCAAGCGTAGTCTGGTTAAGATGGGTTTTAATTGAAGTACCTTTCTGAGCATGCAATTTTGTGCTGGGAAATGGTAGCTTTGCAAGCTGAGTCTGGGAGGGATCCTAGCAAATGCTTCCTAATGGGAACTTGTGCTTTTTTGAACTAGGTTGCTGGCTCTTCTGGGTTTCTTTCCTTTAGAACTAACTTCCCATCTGCATGTTTCTTCCTGTCTGGGTTTTTCTGTGGGACGCATTTCTGTTTTCCAGGCAGTAGCAGCAGCAGTAGTTCAGACTCCACATGCTCTGTCATAGAGAAACCTCTGGATAAGTCCTTCACTAGTGAGTGGGAGCTCTTAAGTCCTTTAAGCTTTGGCCTTTCCATAATCTGCACACTCCATTTTGCAATGTTGCACTCTTCCCTGCTTTGTCTGTTGGAAAGATAAACCTGAAGCTGTAATTCTGCTAAAGCATGCCTTTCCTTTGCTGCTTCCATGCTTAAAAAAGTTATTCAATGTGCACATTGTTAGCCAGATATATAAGAGRATAGGAAATGTGTAGTGTGCTGCTTGAGCAAGATTTAAAGCTAATTGAGAAATAACAGGTTAAGAAACTCCAGTTTGYGACTGTGTTAAATGTACCTTCTAAAATATGGGGGAAAAGAACTGAGCTAAATTTTTAATAGGAGTTGCTACAATATGAGTTCATAAAAAGATCAGCTAGATGTATTCTATGTTTTATGGGACTCTGCCTTCTCAAAATTAGTTTTGAGGAAAATAAATGGAGCAATAAACAGTCAAACAGCATGAGGTGCATACTTACAGAGAAAATGTGCAATGCTTAGTTGACTGGCTTTATTTTTGCAAATGCTTAAAGAAATACGCTTGGTTGGGGTATAAGTGTCCCACTTTATTAACTTCTTGATCTCTGTGGGACTTAGTTTGGAGGAACAGGAGATCCAAATTTTGATCGAGCAGTGAGGAAAGGCTGGGCTGCTCCTGGTCAGAGAGGTTGCTGTGCCTGTAAAAACACTACAGTCAACGAGGATTGAGGAAACAAATCACACCCCAGGATTTGGCTTATGGGGACTTCACCCACTGTTGTGGTTATCCTGGATAGATGCACTCCACCCTTTTCCCTGTGTGGAGGGACCCTGGAAAGTATTGCTGTAGAGCTCACTCACTTTTGTACTAGTGGTGTTAGTGGAGAGCCTCAGCTCAGAGAAGGGTGCTGGCAGCTTTAAAAGGAGCACAACCTGAGGGACACCTTTGGTGGGTCATGTRACTGTAGCCTGGGAATTCGATTGCTTCAATTCTGCTCCTTTAAAGCTTGCCTGAGTGTTTTATTTGGATGAGGACAGTTAATAACAAACTGCTGGTGTGTCAGCAGGTGGATGAGTCCATCTCCTGCAGGTTTGGAGACAGCTCTGTTGTCAAAGTTGCACTGGGCTTTTGGCAGTTGGGATAAGAGTAGTTTTTTGTGGTTTGGGATATTAACTGTCCTCTAGTGTGACCCTTTTGCATGTGCTGTCTTTCATTATCCCTTTCCTGTTCTGCCTTTTTTGTTGCACTTGCTTGAATAACCAAAAGTGGCTCTATACCTCTATGGAAGCACCAGTTACTGCAAATTAACCTACTAATCTCCYGTGTAATTAAATGGAGAAATCTTGTGTTGAGACTCCCTGTGTGCAACTGTCTTGTACCTTGCAAAGAATTGGCTTGGAAATCACAGCTAAAASTTAGATCATGTATTCTGTATGCTCATATTTTACAGGTAATGTAACAGAATTGGYCCTCTTGAGTGGGGGGAGCATTAAGTATTAATTGAAGGAGAAATCYACCCCCTTTGACTGTTTCTTAGGGCATGATCCTTGCGGCAGGCTCCTAATGTTGTGTGTAGATTTGCATTGCATTGAATGGGCAGAAGAATGCAAGAGTGAGCTGAARATTGTCCTGGATATGCAAAGCACTCAGAAGTACAGAAACATTCTCTGCTTTAGCATAACAACATGATGCATTAGTGTTTGCTCTAATGGAGGGGGGTTTAGTTATGATTATCTCAAGTTTTCTACCCTAGAAATATGAATATAAAATTTGATGTTTGTTCTGGTGCTGATGATCTTTGTCCAAAATKATCAAATCAGTAACATTTTCTCTCCTCCTCTTTTTATGTGTTTGCTGCCTCTCTGCGATTTGCTTTCTACTTCCTCTTAATGCAAGATCAAGCAGGTTGGTGTAATTGATTTTCACCTCCTTACAATTGCAAAGCTTGTGAAAGAATCTTACAGCTTGCTTCACTTTACCTTTTTCTCCTAAACTCAGAATATAGGGCTRTGTCATTGTAAGAAGCCTTTATCTGGCTTATCTCTTATGATGAGCACTGTATAGCACTTCCAGAAAGCTTCTTACTCAAAACTAATTAGTGAGAGATTTTTGCACCACAAGGCCAGAAAGAGGTGCTCATTATCTGATTCTAAAGTTTAGCAGATGGCAGTGAAGATGTTTGCTGTAGTGGTGAAATCCTCGTCTCGCAACAAACACACAAAATATTGCGTGCATGAAGAAACCTACATGCAAATGTGAAAATACATATATGCATGTTTACATATGCAGTACAGTTTGCTGGAGTGTGTATGTGGATAATATATATATGCATATAAATAAAATGCATGTATATGTATATAAATGAAGCTGAATATCTTGAAGACTGGAGGAAGAGAAGCCTTTTACTGAGCAGCTTGCCTGAGCACATTCTGACTGTGTGTATTATGTCACTATGAAAAACAGTCAGGTGGCAGTCAGTGGCTCCTGTTAGTTTCAAGTACAGCTGGATTCTACAGGRTGGGGTTTTTTCTTGTCTGGAGAAAAGCAAAGCAAGGAAATTATGCATTCACTTGTGAATAAAAGGATACTTAGGACTTGTGGATTTGAGGAAATGCATTCTCASTCCATGTAAGCCCCAGGATCTCTGTGTTCACTCACTTGGGCATCTCCACTTGGGGATTGCAATGAAAGTTTGCTCAAGACTTGSAGAGTGAATTTCAAGAGCAGCAGCCTCACTCTTTGTTTAAAACTTGAAGTGTTTGGGACCAACCCTTGAAGTCAGTAGGGTCAGTGAGTTGCTCTGGCCACTCCCTTGTAGCCCTCCATGACCTGGTGTGCTGCTGTGGTGATTCTGATGTGAAGAGGCAGCTGATTAAGTCAGAGCAAACCTTGGTACTTCCAAATCCATGGGTAGTCACTGTTACATAGATCAAATACCATCAAGAAGTTTCTTTAATTGCGTAGTTTTCATAGGGCTGTTCTGAATTTCTCTGTTTTCATAGTAGTGTGTTCTTAAAAATATCTGCATGCTCACTTTGGAGCAGGTAAGCCTGTAAGGAGTGCAGTGAATGAGGGGAGTGGTGGAGATGCTAATCTTAAATTTGAGTATGTAACTCTAGGTAGCTGAGCTCTTGTAGCTGTAGGTTGAGGCAGTCTTCTGTTTTCCTTCCCCTGGCCTGATCTGCATTGTTAAAACATCCGAGTTTCCAGCTCAGACTTCTCTTTAAGCAGTGTTCCTTCTCCGAGTGTTCTTTATATGTTCTGTATTTTAGGGGCATTAGGTTCCAGTGTTAGTTGCACAGCACTGCTGCTCTCTAAGAACTGGTGACAATTGGCCAATGTTAAAATGGAATTTAAAAGACTGAGTTTTGCCCATTTAGAAGCTGATACCTAATGAAGTTTTTGTTAAGTGCAAGTATTGAATGTGAACTTGGAAAAAATGCCATGATACAGAGATTGTTTTACTTTTCAGTGAACTAATTGGTTTTCCCCATCTCTTTMAAAGGCAAAAAGAAAGTTTCCCCTGATAAGATGGTAGAGATGCAAGCAAAGATTGAAGAGGAGAGAAAAGCTCTTGAAACTAAGCTTGATATGGAAGAAGAAGAAAGAAATAAAGCCAGAGCTGAATTGGAGAAGAGAGAAAAAGACTTGCTCAAAGCTCAGTGAGTACCATGCTCTGAATGGTTTGTGTGATCATGTGGGTTGTTCCTTCCTTAATCATATGAATATCTGTAGATGCATGGTGAGGTGCCTGTCAARCTTCGGTGAAAGTGAACATCAGCCCTTGCTATTGTCAAGGTGAAAGAGGAGCTTTGAGATTTTGGAATAACTGGAAAAGACAAATTTTTATYGTTTTGCCTCTTCCTTTCTTAATTTTACTTAGTTTTGTAAGATAGCCTAGAAACATAAATTAATCTCCCAAGACCTGTGAGGAGCAGCAGTACTGCTCTRTAGCAGGCCAGGTTTCCTGCAGCACAGTCACAAGTGTGTAATTTTGGGTGTAGGGGTGCTTCACTGTAAAGCCAGAAAGCTGCTAAGGTCACACTGTCCCATGCAAATAGGACAGTCCTGCTGCCAAGAGGCTGCTCCAGCAACAGCCAGAATTCCTGATTTGCACCTCAGCTGCTCTGCATTGATCTSTGTTCACTCCCCTCCATTGCAGCAGCTGCCTCTGGGCATTGCTGTGCTGGCAGGGCCCTTTTGGACAGAGGATGCCTTGAGTAGCCTGGTGATGCCCCTGGGTGCTTGCAGCCCCTCACAGAGGTCACTTGCAGCAGAAGACACTTCTYTGCTGACTTGGTTTTGCGTGAGAGAAAGTGGTGGGAGCTGGAGCTTGGGGAACTCCCTGCTTTCACTTGTGCTGCCTCACCCCCACTTATACCCTCAACAGCAAGACAAGTTTTTCCAGCCCTGTGGGTGCTGTCTGCGCTATAAAACCAAGCTGGACCTGCTCCCTGCTGGGCACGGTAGGGTAGAAGTCTCATCTACCTGTCTGTCTAGGCAAGAACACCAGTCCTTGTTGGAGAAGCTGTCTGCACTGGAGAAAAAGGTGATTGTGGGAGGAGTGGACTTGCTGGCAAAAGCAGAGGAGCAAGAGAAGCTTCTAGAAGAATCAAACATGGAACTGGAAGAACGAAGGAAGAGAGCAGAGCAGCTTCGCAAGGAGCTTGAGGAGAAAGAGGTGGGTTTATCTGCTGTGGCTGTCTGCAAACAGCAGTGGCAACACACCCCAGCATGTGTTGCCCAGGTTRTGGCTCTGCTCTGGAAGCCCTGCAGAAGCCAACCCCTCTGCAGGCCACTCATTGGCTGTACAGCCCCTGCAGGTTTGAGCCAGCATGGCTCAGCCAGGGCTCTGTGCTCTTGGSAAATGCTTTGTTTGTTCAAGAAGTTTCTCCTCATTCATGCTGTTGCAGAGGGTTTCTGTGATTGTATTAATGTGTTTCTSTGCTAAATGTCTTATGCAGCAAGAACGCTTGGACATCGAGGAGAAGTACACCAACCTCCAGGAGGAAGCACAAGGRAAAACCAAAAAGCTGAAGAAAGTTTGGACCATGCTTATGGCTGCAAAGTCAGAGGTTAGTGTCTAAAGTCCTCAGCCAGTGATCCTGTGAGGAGCTAGAACTGGGAAGGGTAAACGGTCCGCTTTGTAATGTTGGCAAAAGTGCCATATGTTTAGAAATGTCTTTCTGTGCTGTCCATTTGGCTCACATAAATCAAAAATACCTAAGGCTGGAGKTGAAGCTCTAGAACAGGATGTTGTGGAGATTTTCCCCAGGCCAGGCTGAGAAGGGTTATGTGTGAGACTCTGAGATATCCACAAATTGAAGGGAAAACACTGGTTATTTCTGAAATACAAGTTGCTTGCTGGCAGCCCCATCTCCTGCTTTGCTGCCACCCAAAGGCTCCTCTGCTGTGAGCTGCCTGTCCTTTATGACCAGTGCCCTCATTACCTCGTCCTGAGTCACTGGATGAATGTGTCCTTTGGCTGGTAGCTGGAGTTCCTGTTTCATSAAAAATGCATTTGGTCTTTGGGATCAGAGATTTTCCTTGAAACTTTGGCAGGGATATAACTTYGTCTCATGCTTTTCATCTAGCCTTAGCTGAAGCAGCTTGGATTGGCAGAAGGCCAGTTTTGGGTTCATGAAACTGAGAACTTAATGCTATTTTCAGCCATCTCTGAGCTGGAACATTTCAGAGGGTTTATTCTTCAGAGATAAATATTCTGGTRCTAATAATCAAGTTTGCTTTTGTTTTTCAAAAACCTCATACAGACATAAGATTGTTCTCTTTATGCTGTTACCATGTTTAAGCTAACTCTGATGCCTCTCAAATGTCTGGTTTGTTTTCAGATGGCAGATCTGCAACAAGAGCATCAGAGAGAGATTGAAGGATTGCTGGAGAACATTCGGCAGCTGAGCAGGGAACTTCGTCTTCAGATTCTCATCATAGACAACTTCATTCCTCAGGACTACCAGGTGAAGGCAAAGCACCTGAGCCTGGGGCAGGGGTTGTGCTGTGCTAACATCAATTTTCTTGCAGCATATTTTCCTTAAGGTTTATAAAAATAAGCAAATCACATTCACCACAGAGYTAACTGGCATATTCATTGTGTGCCCATGCAGTGGAGCTGCTCAAAAGCTTCTTTTTYTCCCCACTATGCTTGAAGTTGTTGTTACTAATGTCTGATATTAAGACTAAGTAGCAAGACTGGATTTACAACYCTTTGACTTTCTTGTTTTCTTTGTGACTCTGAAATACAGAAAATTCATGATGAGCTTAAATATAATGCACACTGTTTAATGGGAAAATTAAAGGAAATTGGGTTTATATTTCTCTTTTTTTTTTCCAGTGGTTGTTTACTGCTATCCTGATTGTGTTGTTGTGATGTGAACCCCATGCTTCAAGGGGCTCTCCAATACATCCAGTTAGGGAGTGGTATTTTTTCTTCTGTAGTCTTCAGAGAATAAATGTTTTTTTTTNTTTTTTTTTTTTTTTTTTTTTTTTTTTTTTTTTTATACATGATATAGCTGTCTGGATAAGAACAACTTGGAATGGTCAAGATTGCTCTTAAGCAGCTTGTCCAGGCCTCAGGATCTTCTGGAACGTGTACCTGGAGGGTGGATTGTGCAAATCTAACACTTTACTGTCCTGACTTCTTTGTAGGAAATGATTGAGAACTACGTTCACTGGAACGAAGACATTGGAGAATGGCAGCTGGTAAGAATGGCTGCCTGGCTTGTGTACAAGCTAATATTAGCATGAGTTTCTGAGGGGTTTAATTGAGCCCAGGGAGAAATTGGTGAAGCTGTAGTCAGTTTTACTGTGCACAGTAGACTTTACTAACAGACCTTTCTTTCTGCCTACAGAAATGTGTTGCATATACAGGAAACAATATGAGGAAACAGACACCTGTCCTGGATAAAAAAGAGAAAGATGTAAGTGACTCTTGAATTGATGTATTGAAATATACAGGCTCAAATCCTGCTTGGGACTGCCACTCTCTATTTAGGGCCAAACTGTCCAATTTGAATTTACTTTTCTTTTGAAGAAATGAGTCTTTGTAGTGTCATGAAAGCACCATTGATCAGTGTATAAAATTATTCTGATGATTTTGTCTTATGGGGTTTTCTTTATGTTTTTTTAGCCCTTTGAAGTGGACCTTTCCCATGTTTACTTAGCTTACACTGAAGAAAGCTTGAGRCAATCTCTGATGAAGCTGGAGAGGCCAAGGACTTCAAAAGGAAGATCCAGGCCCAAGACGGGTAGAAGGTGAAGAAATCTGGGGTATCTGTATGGAATGAGGGATTTACCCAAGGGAAGGCTTAAGTTTGTGTATGCAAACTTACCACAAGTCTTCAAACATTCATTTAATGAGAASGCAAAGGACAAAAATTTTGCATGGTGTAGTTTAGTATTGCCAGGTGTAACAGAACCTAGCTGAGATCTCTTTACAGCAGTAAATCCTGTCCAGAAAGAGTTTTCTGGGGATTTTTCTGATGCTCTTTTGCTGCATTCTCCTCTTCCAGCTCCTTGTTTTATTTTGTTGCATTCTGTGGTTCAGTTTAATGCAGTCTGGCACACTGCCAGTGCAAACACTGGTACTGATGGAGAGGAGAGTGCTCTTGGGGAGATTTCAGCATGTGCTTTCTTGTGCTTTTTGTTTGGTTGGTTTTGCTTGTGGAGAAGTCATGTCATGTAGTTTTGACTTRAAATGTGGCTGGTCCCTGTCTTTCCTAGACAGCATAATGATGTGTGTGTGGTGTTGTTTTTCCCTTTCCTTTCTGCTCTCCAAACAGAAAACGTTCGGCCAAGCCAGGAGCTGTCATTGATTCCCTGCTGCAGTAGTGTGACCTGGTCAGAATTCCTGTAAAAATCAGTGAGTGTATAAGGTTTGGCCAGAATATGGAATATGAGAGATGGCACAGTTTGACATGGCTATAATTTTTTATTTAAAAAARCATATTTTTCCTTAGTTGCCTGTATATTGTATGTTATATTAACATAATATTAAATTGGTATATAAGGTTGATGGTTGTGAAATTCCATGTGCTAAATGTGTTGTGCAGGGAAACTTGTTGGCAATCCTTGTTGAAATAGAGAATAAGGGTTTTAGATGTGTGTTTAAGTGCTAGACATGTTAGTTCAAAACAGTTAATGAAATCCTAAAATTAAGGCTGGTAAATCTGACTTATGCCCTGCTTTGCACATAACTGGCAGCTTTCACTGTTGTCCTCTGTTGCACTGATCTGTGTTTGAATGTTGTTGCTGCAAACCTTTAAGAGCATCAAATCTTTTTATTTAATATTCCTCCCTGTGGCTGTTAACCTGATCATGTTGTGTATCAAATACACAGTCCTGTTCCCTGTTTGCTGTCTTGCTGTACAGAGAAAGTAGCTGGGTAGGAAAAACATGAACCACAAAAGTCTGAGACTTCTGAAAAGGGACCATGTTCTGTTTCAGTGCAGCAGAAATCAAGACTGTCTAGTAGTGCTTTTATTTTTATCACTTTTTTTTTGTGATCTGCTGGCACTGTGGAGAATGAGACCTTGGATATGAAGGCAAAAGAGAGCTTTTTTCCTTCTTTTAAGGCTGTGTTACTTTGGCTGCTTTTTATGCTTCAGGGCCGGAATTTTTGTGAGTAGCTTGTAATGTGAACAGCAGAGTTGATGGAAGGGGGATWCTATAACAGCAGGACTTAGTGTCAGCCATGGGGCTGTCAACACTGTGGCTCCATTTCCTCATCCCTGGCTATCAGGCACAGAGCCACTGCTCTACACTGAGGATGAATCTGACTCTCCTTCAGTTAAACAGAATGCCCAGTTTTCCCAGAACAATACCCCCTGAAATAGCAGGTGCTGTCTATATTCCTATGTAGACTGTGTGCATCTCTGGATGTGCTCTGAGAGGAAAGAAATTCTAGTTTCTGATAATAACCATTTATTTGTGATAGCTGCTCTTTTTCTTTGATATTTATGCTGCTAATAGACACATATCACTTTAATATGTTGCTTTTATGTCCCAGAAAATGCATCTTCTTCGAACTGTGTGTTTTATAACTCATCACATCAGCTGTGGGTATCTCAGCAGCTCCTGTGCCAGGGTGGGGGGGATGAGCTGTGACCTCCCTGTCATCTTTGTGTCACCTGGAGGACTGAAAGCTGTGACTACTGACAGGAGAAATGGAGTCCTTCAGTGTGACAGAAAACAAGATAGCTTCTCAGGTGTCTTGAGTCCTTGCTAGTAGCCACATCTGCTCTTAGCAGAATGTTCCTGTGAAGTCCTTAGASAAGTTAAATGCCCTTTCTTCCTGTCATGATGCTTGTCTGGGTATCTGTGACAGGATATGTTGTAGTTAAAACTGGTCTTGCAAGGACATACTTTTCTCTGAAGGATATACCTAGTGTTGTTCTAAACGAGTTGTAAGCTTTTTCCTGTTATTTCTAACGTTTTTATTTTCAGGATCATGACCTGGAAGARCATACTACCCTCTCTGTTGGGGGGGGTGTCACCTAAATTCATACAGATACAAACACTGACATTTGTTTTTTCTAGCGTAGCACTTAGAGGTAAATGCTCAGAAACTTTCTTGATYGACTCTGTAGTTGGTTTTGCCTGTGAAGAGCTAACCTTATTTTGAAGGTGCTTGAATAGAGCTGGATTATCTCTTATTACATACTTCTCATTGAAAAATCCAGACTGAAAATGGCTTAAATGCTGTTTAAAGTCTTGTGTCAGTGCTGAGCCCAAGCAGATAGGTGCACAGCTGTGGCCTGTRCTAATTCCCAGAACCAGGGATAACTTCTCTTTGCTTTTTGTGTTACATCTTATGCTAATATTTATTGAATGGTCTGGTTTTAAGGGAGTTAAACCACAACTATGCTCTCAAAAAGACCATTGAAAATCCTTTTACCTGACAGACACCAGTGGCTTCAAGATACCACTGTGAACCATGGCACTGCGTTTAAAATATTTAAATATTTAAAGTATTTAAAACTTAAAAGGCATATGCTTTACATTTAACATAACAGTACTGCTGCTGGAAACAATAGTACTCTGCATATTTAGGTGAGCCTTGGGGCAGGGAAAACAATAAATAATTGCTTGCACACCTTTAATTGGCTGATTGGAGAAACTGGTTATCTCCTGTTACAGAGGCTTGGAGAACAAATTATCTGCTCTRTAAGAGGACTTTATTTAAACTCTTGTGGTCATGTGCCCTATCAGCTTGGCTCACCTGTTAATTGGTGTGTTTTATTGAAGTTCTGGGAAGTTTCTTGTAAAACCAGGGAGGCTGGCTTAGAGATTTACTACATGGGTCCTCCCTGTAGCCCTGGCTGATCTGTGAATGTCTAATGGACCCATAATTTGTTTTAATGAGGAAAAAGTTTGGTTTATATGGACTTTAAAGAGCTTAATTCAGCCTTTCTTGTTCCAGGTCAGTATGTGCTCTATGGTATTTATCAAAACTCCTGTAACATAACGTATACTGTGTGTGCTCATCTTTGCATCTTGCTACCAGAAGATTCTCTTCATTCCAGAACACTGACCGTAACAGTGAGATTTTTGCTTTATGTTGTTTAATGTTGTGTAAATTAATTATTTCATATTTAACTTGTTCCTGATCCTTTAAGAGGAGGGGAAATGGTCCTTAGTGCCTTTCACTGACTACACTCTCTGCACATGTCCAACTTTCACCTTTCTCCACAGTTCTGCTTAGCCAGGCCTGTATAGAGGGAAAAACTGCTAGTCTGTTTGTATAATTTGTCTTCCTATTTATTGGTTTTCTAACTCTGTTTATTTCTGACTATTCCTTGTTTTATTAAAGTTAATTCATTATACTGTATATATCAATATTGTGTCCCTGGAGCATGTTCATACCATGAAATAAAATTCTTGATTCCTAATTCCACGCTCTGTGCATGTTTTTCAAATAACATTGCACATAGAACATCTTTCTAAGTCAGTTGTGTCAGGAGCTGGCTGAGGCAGGGTGGGTGAAATGCCTTTGTAGCTCTGAGCTGCACAATGCTCTGGAGAAGTTTGTGTAGGGTGTGTGGGGACCTCGTTGCCCAGCCCCAGGGCAGTGGGCAGCCAGACCTTGTGGGAAGAGGTGGACAGGGCAGAACAGGAGGATTTGTTGCAAGACTACAGCAAAAACCAGTGAGCTGAGGCTGCAGAGGCAGAGCTGAGCCCCTGTGGAAGCCCACACTGTGCTCGGATGGTCCTGGGCTGAGCTGGGGCACAGCAAGAGCAGCTCCTGCTGCCCTCATGGCCAGTGCTGCCCTGCTCTGCCTCTGCTGCTGTGTGCACTGCAGAGGGTGTGACMAGGCTTTGCACGCTGTCCTGGCTTGCTGTCCTGCACTGCACATTTGAGTCCCACCCTGCTGCTGCAGATGGTGTGAATTCACCTGCCCTAGTTGGAAATGTTTGGCTCTGTTTCTTTGGCTGCATGAGTTCTGTTGGTTGGCAGTGCCTGTGGCCCCCCAGCCTGCTCAGCCTAGCGGTAGCAGTTTTTTTCTGTGGTCTGCTGATCCCGAGTCCTCTGACTCAGTTGATGCATGAACCAAACCCTGCACAGTCTTGGCCTCTTCACTCCTGGGCCACAAAGGGCTGTGCCATATATAAATGCCATATATATAAAAATACAGTGTTACAATAAAGGCTATAAATAAAGTGAGGGCAGAACTTGCTTAGCTCAGACCTGGTTTCTCCCTTTGCAACTCCAGCATGCACTTTTGGGTTCACAGCTTTCAACAGTAGATCCCATTTGTGGCCTGGCTTCTCCCCTCTGCCTTCTCTTGGGCTTTTCCTTCTGCTTAGACCTGTATTTCTCATGTTAGTGTGACCTGAAGGATGGATTCTTTGGCAACTCGTAGCAGCACTGCCCTTGTGTCCATAAATTTAGAATGATCTTAACCATTGCCTTTTGTAAAATCCTATGCAATGCCAGCACATTTACTCCAAAAATACATTTATTTGAAGAATCATTATAAATAATCTTTGAAAAATAGGGTCATATTTTTTTAAAAAGTGTTTTTTCACTTCTGASTCTTATATTCTTCTTGGAGGACTCGGTGCAATTCCTCGAGGAARTTCTTCAGTGAGGTTGTGCTGCCTGCTGCCACAGGACATGGCTCCTGGAATGGGAAAGAGGGGCTGTTAGGAAGCTTTCTGGGGAGGGATTGTTCTGCAGCCTGGGCTGGGCTGCTGATGGTGCTGGGAGAGTAAAACACACATGGTGACCAAGGGAGAAGCTTGAAGGCTGTGGACAGCAGGGAGGGTTGTGCCTCACCTTGTGCCCTGCTCTGGTCCCCCAGGCTAGGCCGAGCAAGTTGTGGTAAATGCCCTTGAGGTACTTGTGGCAGCTGTGGCCCTCCTGAACAATTGTGGCAGCTTTGCAGAAGATCTCCATGTTGTTACCTCGCTGGGAAAAGACGTGGCATTTTTAGAAACCTCTGTATCATCATGGCTTATTAGCAGCAGATTAAAACACTGTAATTAATATATTTCTGTTCTAAAGGACAAGTGRAAATTGTGGTTTGAGGTGCCAAAGCCTCCCTGAAGCCAGCCCCATCTGTGCACMCGTGGCTCTGCTCCCATCCCTTCCCTGGCGAGGAGGAACCAACCCCTGGCAGAAGCTGTGGCAGTGTGGCACAGCAGCAAGCACCCTGTGATGGAGCATCATGCTCTGCTCTGCTGCAGGTGTGGATGTGAGACCCTGTGGAGCTGCTCCCTGCGGGTTTCCCTGCCAGTGAGGCTGGTTTGAGTGGGAGAGGTGCTACAGGAATAACAAAAGCACCTGGGAAGAGGTTGCCTTCATCAGGGACTGAGCTGTCCTATAGCAGAGACACGTGAAAGATGAGCTGGTAAGTGAAGTGCTGGTGGCAATAAAAAACCCCTATTTGACTTTCTTGCCTGGGAGATGCTCCCAGTGCTGCCCCATTGGCAGGTCACCGAGAGCTCTGCCTGCTCTCTCTGCTCAGCTTTCACCTGAACGGATCTCCAAACGAGTGACTGGCCCATTGCTGTGAGCACAGGCAGCTCTGCCAGGCTSTGCAGCATCTCAGACATCTCTTGTCACTCCCAGGGCTGCTCCCTGTGGCAGGAGGGCTGTGGGGATCCCCTGAGGGGTGCTGAGCGCCAGCTCCCCAGGGAAGGCCACTGCACCCCTCGGATTCCACCCACCGGTGCTGTATGGACTGAGAGCATGGGCTTTCTGTGTAAACAGGAACTCAGGGGCTGGGGAGCTTGGCTTAGGCAGCAGTTTTCAGAGCAGAAAGAGGCCTTATTATCTACTATTAAATCTTGTGCTCACTGCAGAGCTTTCCCCCAGATAAAGGGCTAAAGAGGGATARTGTGTGTGCCCAGCACTCGAGATGCCACGTGCTGGACACGTGCAGGTGTCTGAGCTGTGACAGTGCCCCAAGGCCGAGGGRCACCTTCCTCTCTTCCTCCTGAACAGCCTCTGCACTGCCCAAGCCCATCCCTGCCCACCCTCTGGCCTGTCCCCAGAGTGTCAGAAGGCACCAATGCTGCTCTGACTGGAGGTGSAGATGGGTGTGGGAGGGTGAGGGCACCTGTGCAGGGCCCTGGGAGCAGTGAGACCCATCTGAGCAGCCCAGTGTTTGTGCTGGGGGCTCGCAGTGGGCTCCTTGCTCCTCTGCAGCACCACACCAGGGCAGGCAGCATCCCGGGCTTCCCACCTGCCTCCCGCTGCCCTGTGCTCTCCTCTGGCCCCAGCTCCCTCTCCCAGTACCCATCAGGGGGATATGGTTTTTGCTCTTACCTTATCCTCTGCAAAAATATCTGTCACGTTCATGGCATTGCAGGAAACCTTTACCAAGACACAAAGGAGAGGAGCAGTCAGGCTGCAGGCAGCAGGATCCACCCTGACACAGCACACTCAGACATCCATCCATCCATCCATCCATCCATCCATCCATCCATCCATCCATCCATCCATCCATCCATCCATCCATCCATCCACCAGAGCCCCACGCTCAGCACCTTCCTTCACTCCCTCTGAGCCTGGTGAAACAGCCTGGCCCTCCCATCACTGGATCCAACACCAGCCAGCCCTACCTCCATCTCCCGCAGCTGGCCCAGCAGCCTGATGCTCTCCTTCAGCATGTTGTTCCGTAGTGTGAGTGCCCATGGAGTGACCACGTCACCCTGGAGGGCTGACAGCACCAGGAAGATGAGCAGGACCTGGCTCAGGACTCTCATGGCCTGCTTTGGCTGGACCCCCTCAGTGCTTGGTCTCTGGATTGCTGGGTGATCTGTACTTGTGTGTGCTTTTCTGGAGGAAGAACCTCAATTTATTACCGTAAAATTGCTGAACCAGAAGGAAAAACTCAGTTTTCCCTTATCTGCACTTTCCAAAGGCGCTCCTGATTAGGAGCACAACAGGTCTCTTTTTTGCGAGTCAAAATTTTCTTCTGATCTTGGTTATGAAATTTCCACTGTAAGATGACAGTGGCAGGAGTCAGTTCACATACAGTAGATAAGCCTGGTTTGAGGATTCTCCATCTCTCCATATCCCAAAGCTTTCTCTACCCCGTGAGTTGGAAGTGGCTGAACCGGGTAACCCACTGCTCTGGCACACTCCAATAGCAGCACTTTTTATTTTCCTGTAAGTATCCTGCAAGTTCTGCTGTTGCGTTTCATTTGACTATCTCCAGATCAAGTGAAGCATCCTTCATCTGCACGCTGATTTCCGTCCCTGGGCTTCTTAACCTGGGGAGGAACACAAAGTATGGCAGAGCCATGTGGGGACAAACCCACGTGGGCAGGAGCAGGGCATTGCCCTGTGGGGTTTGTGGAGAGCTGAGGCCCCTCCTGACCTAACAGGACCCCAAACCAACGTGGCATCCTGCAGGGTCGTGGGCAAGGGYAGGGAGCTGGTGTGGATAGTGCTGCTGTGTCCTGCTGAGAAACTGAGCATTGTTTGTCCTCTATCCCCAAAACTGCAGCATTCTGGGGAGCTGGTCCTGCCCTGTCCATCCTGCCCTGCCTGGGGAGCAGCCTGAGCTTTTCAGGCGCTGGGCACTGCCCGCCTCACCAGCCAGCCCTGCCACAGGAAATGGCACTGAGAAAYGCTGAGCTGGGAAACTCTGGAGTTTTGTAATAACTAATAGGGATTTTTCTAACTCAAACAGCAACTTGCTGTCAGATAACAACTTGTGAGCGCTTGATGAATCTGGAAGTAGCCAGACTGAGAGTGMTTTTGTTTGCCTGGTTCTGAGGTGCCCTGGATGAAGTCAGCTGAAGTCAGTGRCTGAGAAAGGCCTTTGTGAGGGATTTGCCAGGGGAGAGCTGCTCTGTTTCCTACGTGCCCTGTTCATGATGGAGAGCAGACAAGGAGCATTCTCTGCCTGTGGGACTGTATCCATGGCCTCCAGGAATGGAGGTGTGTCCTTGCCAGGATCCCCAGATCTGTCCTGCTGCTCTGAAATCAGTGGTGGCAGTGCCAGGATCCCTGCCTAAAAGTGATGCTGGAGGTGGGGATGGAGGCAGCCCCATSCTGCAGATTTCCTCAGTGATCACAGTGGGAAGCTCTAAAACTGGAATCAGTGAACAGAAAATGCTCAAATTACAGAAAAATTTAACCTTTGAGCTACTCAGGCTGAATCATGGTGGAAAACCGCATCACTGTGTGATGAGAAAGTCACCTGTTGTTGTTGGGTTTGCAGACAGGGTTTTCACAGTGGGGACTGCAGGGCTGGGCTCTGTGAGAAGCTGCTGGAAGATGCTGGAAGTGCCTGATGGAGCCAGCACCAGTGTCCCCAAGAGGRTCCTGCTGCTGGACAAGGCCCAGCTCATCAGCAGCAATGGCAGTGCCCTGGGGATAGAGTGAAAATGGGGGAAACCCTGAACAGCTGCAGCTGGAAGGGAGGGGAGAGATAATCAGGAGTGAAGTTAAGCTTGGGAGGAAAGGATGGGTGGGGTTATGGTTTTTGAAGATTTAGTTTTTACTTCTAATTGTCCTACTCTGATTTGATTGGCAATAAAGTGAATTAACTAAATAATTGAATTAATTTTTCCCCAAGCTGAATCTACTTTGCATATGACAGTAATTGCTTTCTCCCTGTCCTTACCCTGACTCAGGAACCATTTGTTATATTTTCTGCCCACTGCCCAGCTGAGGGTGACTGTGGTGGGACCCCGATGTCCATCCAGGGTCAGTGCAACAAAACAGCAAAGGAAAAACTCCCCATGTCCTTTCCCAAGGGTGTGTTGGAGCAGATGGCAGTGATGACCCCATTGCTCTCAGTGGGGTCCCCACCCTTTCTGGAGCCCTGAGACCATCCAGGGGTGAACCTGCCCATTTCCCTACCAAACAAAGGTGCTTGATTCACAAATGTATCCTGGGTCCTTCTCCTCTTGGAGCCCCTTGGGCTCTGTGATTTGGGATCTCCCATCCCATGAGGATCCTGCTCAGCTCCCAAGCACCAGCATCTCTATGGCCCCCCAGGAGCCACAGCCACTGCTCAGCTGTCCCCTCTTTGTCCTGAACCAGAGCGGTGCCAGGATGGCCACTGGGACAGGGCAATGAGGGCTTGTCGACTGTCACACCCTGCCACTCCCTATCAGTCACACCCCATCACACCCCGTCACACCCTGCCACACCCTGCCACTCCTTGTCACACCGTCACCCCCTGTCACACCCTGTCACACCCATCACACCCCGTCACACCCTGCCACACCCTGCCACTCCCTGTCACACCCTGTCACACCTTGTCACATCCTGTCACACCCATCACACCCCGTTACACCCATCACGCCCTGCCACACCCTGCCACTCCCTGTCATCCTGTCACATCCTGTCACACCCTGTCACACCCTGCCACACCCTGTCAGTCACACCCTGTCAGTCACACCCTGTCACACCCTGCCACCCCCTGTCACACCCTGTCAGTCACACCATGCCACCCCTTGTCACCCCCTGGCCGCTGTCACTGGCAGCTGATGGCAGCAGGGAGCACAGAACCGATCACAGAGCGAGCGGGGCTGGAGGGAACCCGCAGGGGTCACTGAGTGCAGCTCCTGGTCCTGCACAGCACCATCCCCAAGGGTCACACCATGTGCCCGAGGGTGTTGTCCATGCTCTGTTCTCACACATTTCTGCTGCTGCCCAGCCTGAGCCCCCATCACACSGGTTTAGAGCAATTCCTGCGTTTGTAACCATTTCCAGCAGTTATTTAGTGGATTTGTTTCCTGAAWGTGCACCTGTACCTGGCACTAAGCATCCTCTGCTCCCTGAGCCAGCCCCACCCCTTCCCTGTCCCACTGGACAAGCCTTCCCTGCTGCAGCTCCACTTTGGCACCTCCTGCACCCCTCACTGTCCCAAACCACCGTCTGCACCCCAATATCCCCCTCCACCACGACCCCATGCACAGGACCCTCTTCCCAAACAAAACCTCTCATCCTTCCTCCTCCAGTCCTTCTTTCACGCTGCATTTCCTATGCCACAAGCCAGGCAGGTGCTTTGGTCCCTTTTCCTTTCTCCAAGCCTTGCTCAGTGGCAGATTGGGTCCATTTGCTGTACATTGCCCCCAAAATGCCAGCATTCCCCACCCCATTCCCATCACTGACTGACCAARGGCAGCACCCCCAGTGCTCCTCATGAGCTGCTGAGGGTGAGAGGGGATTGACAGTACAAACCACGGGCACCAAGAGCTCTTAAGTCAGCTGTTTATTGCATAAGCCCTGAGACAATTCAATAACATCAGTGCACGGTTGACATGAATAAAAAAATAATAAAATGAAGACCTTCAAATACATGGTAATTTGAATATATTAAATCTCSTAATACAAATATTTTAAATAGAGAGAACAATAAATTACAAATCAGCACATGCTCATTTGTTGTTGTGCAAAGGCAATCAGTAAGAGTTCCTTAGAATGAGGTAGCAGTATTTTAAATATGATTGTATTCCACAGAACTACTGTGTAATTTCAAAACAAACCACCTGAATACTGGCTTTTCCTTTTTATATTGGGTCCCAAGCAAAGAAAAGCTGCCAACAGCCAGGACATTTTAATCTTGAATCTTTGGATTACAGACTATCAAATAAGTTATTTAAATAACATATAATAATAAATAAACTTCAGAAGTATGATGGCAGTGAGCACCCGTTAGATTCAAAGTTATCCTATAGACTCYGCTGTCTTCACTATAAATAATTTAAAAGCCACTGACAATAAAAGAGACAAATTGAAGCAAYAGTTCCAGCCCCCTCCCAGCTTTTGCTCTGGAATGCTGCACTTCCCCAGCTCTGCTCCCACAACAGCCTCACCCTCAGCTGCTCTAGAAAAACTTGAGTGAAGGAAACTCATCATTTCAGCCTAGATCTTGATCTCTTTAGGAAGAGATGATTGTGCAGAAACGTCCCTTCACGAAGGGGAACAGGATGCAGATAATCTGSTTTTGGTTTTGGTAGATGCTGCAGGAGCAGATGAATGAGTTAAGCCCTCCGGCTCCTCGGCAGCTGCTCCAGGACGCTCTCCAGGATGCTGTGCAGGATTCTCCGCTCCTCCCGGCTCACAAACCCTCCCGCGGGGGGAAAGCTGTGTCCCATCCCCTCGGGAAGAGCCGCAGGGCTGTCAGGAACAGCTCAGGGCAGCCTTGTCCAAAGGACACCTGTGCTGCTAAGGCAGGGTGACATCTACCACACGGCAATGGGGCGGAAAGTTTGGAGATGCCCGGTGCCTGCCGGGGACATTTGCCATGGCAGCTGCGGACCCTCAGGGACAGGCTGTGAGCACTGCTGGGGCTCAAAAGGGCTGCGGCAGAGCTGAGGAAGAGCACGAAACCATGAGCAAAAAGAAACAAAACAAACCAAAACGAAACCACCCAGCAAAACCTATTTTAGAGCTAGCAGCAGTGAGATCCCCGGGCTGGGGCCGGCAGCCGTGCCCGTCTCACTGCGCAGCCGGCGCTCCCCGGCGCCTGAACATCGCCTGAGTGAAGTTCCCCAGAGCTGGCAAGAAGTGGCGCAGGTAGATCTCGTTATCGCTCAGTTTGCAGTTCTGGGGAAGGAAAAGTGKAAATGGATTAGAGCTGGCAGCGCRGTTTAGCAGCTGCAGCGGCGCGTAGCCAGGATCCCAGCTCAGACAGATGCTCTGCTTGCCTCTCATGAATAATAAATGACATAAATAACTCAGCAAATGACTCAGAGTGCTGAGGATGCCGGCCCAGGAGCTCAGGAACTGTCCTTYACTC